ACAACTCCATATGATATACATGTTTTCTTTACGAGAAAGAACCATGGCTGACTGACAGAGAAGATTGTTTTGTGCAAGCTCACCACCTCACTTGCTGAGTCTCTTAAAGTGAATTAATCCAGAGGCTTGGACTCAGGTAAGGGTATTAAACCCCACAATTAAGTCATGATTAAGCCCCATAAATTCTGCCATGGTAAAATTCCAGTGCATAGTTAAAATCACTTCCAGGAATGTTTTCAGTCTCACTGCTTGTGTTTTCTCCTCCTCTGTGCAGGCGAGTCACTCTCAGCTGCACTTCCAAAGCATAATGTTTCTAGAAGTTTTGAAAACTGGTTTTAGGCAGCCCAGAACTGAACAGCTGACAGCAGTGGTTAGTTTTGACTTCATCCGCATTTTGTCTGGTAACACTCCAACCATCAAAGGGGGGAAAAATGACCTTCTCTCTGCAGAGGAGTGCCATGGAAATAAATTAATAAATAGTTGCAAAGCAATTGTCTATTTTAGTACGGAGCACTAGAGCAAATCTCTTGTGGAAATTAGTTCTGTCATCAGAACAGGGTTTAAGTAGCATGCAATGGATATGGCAGGAGGCCTTGAGCATCAAACGGTGAAGGTGAAGTTAAATACCTCCATGCATGGATCAACCCCCTGGTCATTGTGCTGATAAAAGCAGGAGTCCTTTAGGAGACCAAATGCTTGTGTAACCGACAACTGCATTAAGTGGCACTAAGAAAGCTTCACATCACAGAAACCTCACTTTTCAGCCCTTTCAGCAATGGTTACATCTTTAATACCTGGCTGCCTTAGGTGAAGACCTTGCACAGAAAGTGATCTGCAGGATTACCACCAGAACATCTAACAGATTATCTCCTGGGGTTGTATGATCCATGGATCTAGGGCTTGGTTTTTACAATCTGTGTGTTATCTTTGAATATTGAATGACTTTGGAATTGTGAACCTTGAGCTTGATCACCAGACTGCAGTGTTAGCCAGTGTTAATATCATACAGTATTACTTCATATAAAGTATTAGCCAGCCACTACAGAAAAATAATTTTCAGTACGACTCAACAGAATTGGAGTGTGTGATTCTGCAGTTCAAGCTTGATGAAGACCTCTGACAAACTTAGGGACTATCACAAGTCCTTATCTACCAAAGAAAAAGTTTTTGTTACTATGGGTTTTTCTGTGGATGTCTTCTGTGAACCAGTCATATGACACCCAGTTCGGGTTCCATTGCAATCAGTAACAAAAAAAAAAATTAAAAATCAATCATATTAGTATTGTATCCTTGACCTGTCAGCTTCCCAGTTTCCCCATCTGCAAGGTGGCAATAAGCAGGCAACATTTAATGGTAGCTGAGCGCTTTGAGATCCTTGGATGGTGAAGGCCAAAATCCACAGTATTTTTTTTTGGTCCTGTGACAGACTGGATTTCACTTACACACTATTATTTTGAGAAGTGTGTTAGGTTATTTGCCTGTCCATGCTAACAATGACAATAAATAACTCTCCACATCTCACTGAGAGAATGAAGCGCTATTTACAGATTATAGCGTGGATAAAGCAGGAATACTGGTCCCATCACTACAGTAGAGGGTCTGTCAGCACTTCCATTACCATACTTAAATTCCAGTGGTTTGCAAGCCCATTTTGATTACCATTACCAAACAGACTGCTATTTTTCAGCTTTATTAATGTTAAGTGAATAAATCATGGGAGTTAAAATTGCTTTTGTTCTCCCATAACTAAAATTGGCTTTAAGTTCAAACAATGAAATTTGGAATGCAATTCAATTTGTCCAAAAGAAAGAAACAATGTCAAAGGACTGGCCACTTCACGTACTTAGAATACATCTAGATCTGTATTGACACAATGATATACCAGAAAAAAATAATATTCTTGTGGAGCTCTTCCAATTGCTCTGATACCTAGTATAATTTTTTAAAAATGCTTAAATACACATTTACATTGTGTCTGGGTGGTCTTTGGGTTAAAAAATATGCTTTCAATAACTTTCCCTCAAATACATATTTTTATTTTAATAAAAAGGAGGAAATTAAACACAAGAAACCCCTATGTTATTTTAACATTGAGGTTTCAACAATAATGAAATTCAAATTTAAGCTTGACACACCATCTTAACTCATTCAACAATGTATTTCTAAGAAATGCCAATAATGGGATGAGTTAAGACGAATAAACCTGTCCAAAACAAAAACTCCTGTTATGTTTCATTCCTGATAATTATGTGCACATGAAGGATTTTCCCCTCATGAAAAGGGGAAAAAAAACCCGAAACCCAAAAAAACTTGTCAGCTTGAAACTGAACTTTACTTGATAGTGTGCAAGCTTTGTTTTCGTGCAAGGGTATGTGAGATGCCCCTTGGAGACCCCAAGGTCAGCAGGTAACACAGCCCATGTCAGGTGCCTCCTCCAGGAATGGGACTGGCTAGCCCATGGTACCACTGAAGGCACAAGGAACACAGCCTGACCTTTGGTGACAATTCCTCAGAGCTTCTGAGTGCTGATTCTGTTCAGCACGACTGAAGTAAACGTGCTCTCTCTCTCTGGAAAGGCCTTACCTTCCATGGGGTGACAATTCCTCAGAGCTTCTGAGTGCTGATTCTGTTCAGCACGACTGAAGTAAACGTGCTCTGTCTCTCCCCTTCCATGATGGGGAATGGGATGAGGTCACCTCTAGTGCAGCTCTTGTCAGGTGTTGTCTTTCCAGATGCAATGCCCACAGTGCCTCATGCCACAGACTTCTAACGGGTGGTAGCTGACTGCTTGTCTGCATCTGACTGTGTGCTAAGGTCTTTTAAAAGCATCTCATTTGAAAGGCTGTAGTGGGACAGTGAGAAGGAAAGTCAGGCTGCTTACCTTGGTTTAGCTGCTGCATTGAATAAATTAAACCTGGAGAGAGAAGAGAGAGAAGAGAGGAGAGAGGGCACTTTCCTGCAGTCTGCAAAAGCAGGCAGTGTGTGAGGAAAGGACTTTTCAAAGGCACAGCTTTGCAGCAGAAGCTTAAACTGGTGACTGGAAGAGGAGGGAGCAAACTATATACAGACCTGGCTCGGGTTGATGAGAAGAGACTGCAGATTCAGAAGGCCTTTGAAAAATATGTAGAAAGGTGGGAAAATATTCAAATGTATAATATAGGTGTGTATCTCTCCCTCTACACTCACACTTACTGACCTTGTAATGTTATTCTGTTTTATCCAGCAGATTTATTTTTACTTTCTACCTGTATAAATTGAATTAAATCAAGTAAAACCCAGATTTTGAAATTCATAGGCTTATGGTGGTTTGGGGGTGTTTACAATTAAGAAATAATTGTAAAAAAGCTCTGGCTAACTGAGAATGCTTTCATGGTTGTAATTTTCCTTCCTTCCTGGTCATAAAATGTAAGTCCACTGGCCATGTTTTATTTGAAAATCCAGCTGAAGAGCATAACATACAAGGTCTAATTCTTCCTTATAGGATTTAGAGCCTGTGGCTAGATGTTGAGCCTCAGAGTTATTCTATCTCTGTTAGCTCCAAGGATTGCAGCCATCCTTTGTTTTCATTTTCCAGTATTGGACAAAAGAGAAGCTGATGCTGTCACATAGATTCTATTCAAAATCTTGGCTTCCATGATTTATTTAAAATTGCCCTCCAAGTATTAACTCCTCTTCAATGAGGCAAGTGCCAGATTTTAATTTACAAAACCTCAGGGTTAATCCAGTGAATAGCAAGGATAGCAATCTTATGCCACCTCATATTAACCACTGATTAGCAGCAAATATAGAAATTTGCTTTACAAAAATGGAAGTTGAACAGCAATTTAATAAATTATGATTTAGAAAACCAAAATACCCTGTTTAACCTTCACTTCACATGGTGACAAAAATATATAACATAAATAAGCAGAGAGATATACAAGTAGTACTGTTTTCTCTAGAAACTTACTTCCTGTTGCTAGAGGAGATGTGAAAACAGATTTCTTTGCAAAATAGGAATTTTAAATTAATTAGATGCAAAAATCGCAACCACATACAACTTCTCTTTTCTGGAAATATGCATAACTGCTGGCAAAACTGAACCATGACAAGTTAGTCCCAAGAATAACAGAAACAGAACGACAGACCAAGTGTGGACAGAAATCCCCTTTTGTCTCAGTTCTGACAAATACTCCCAAGCCAGTAATCATTCTGGGAGGAAACAGTTGCTTCATGCAAACACTATGATCCAGAGGTCATACTTTCTTGCCTAAGACGCATTTCTGTGGTAAATCCCCCAGTTCTCGCAGTGCTTCAGGTCTTGCCCCACAGAAGGCAAGGATGAAAGGCTATAAACCATGGCTTTAAAGCAACCCCTTGGGCACATACTCAGCCTGTGCAAAAGCAGTCATTCCCACAGGTGAGACCCTTTATTCTCTGTATTTCGCCTGTGAATTATTTCACTGCTCTTTTCCTGCACCCTGTGCCCCCAAGAGTGAAGACCAGGGTGTGCATCCTGAATCCCCAGCCATGAGGTTGCAGACAGAGTGCAGATTCACCTCCAAGAGCAAAGAGCACAGTGCCCACCCAGGGGCTTGGTACTTTGTCCCCATTTTCCCCTGAAAGCAAGAAAGAGCAGGCCTAAGGCAAGAGAGAGCCAAGATGCAAAGACAGGCAGTCCCCTGTCCGGGATGGGAAGCCTGCCCAGGCCCTATGCTCTGGGAAGCCAGACGAACCCCGGGTATGCACAATCCTAATGGCAGAAAGGGTTTAGTACAAATACAGAAGAACGATCTTGTGTCGAATACCCACATTTCAGGGCAGTTTCTAAAGAATACCCACATGACAGGGCAGTTTCTAAAACTTCACAGGGGCTGCGCGTGCCGGCCACGGCATTCCCGCTGCCCGCTCGGCGCGCAGCGGCCGGGAATGGGGGAGCTGCCGCCGCCGCTTTTTTTTTAAGCGGTTTTTTTTTTTTTTACAGCTTTTATTTGGAACGGGGTAAATATTACACTGAAGATTCAGGACATCTGGGATGTTTGTGACAGCAACACCGAGCTCAGTACACGCGCCCTGCTGCCGGGAGCCAAGGGTGATGCAGCGGGCGCGGCCGGCGGGCCGGCTGGCCCCCGTCCCTCTCTCTCTCCCTCTCGGTGCGTGTCTCCGTGCCGCGGGCCCGGCGGCGGAGGCGGGGGTATCCCGGGAAGCGTTCTCCCTTCCCGCTGGGGCGCGGGGAGCTCCCCTGGCCTCGCGGGAGGCGGGGCGGCGCTCTGCCCGCGCCCCGCGGCTCCGGCGCCGCCTCCTCCTTGCTCGGCCTGAAGCGCGCTCGCACTCGCGGATCCCGGCGGGGAAGGGGCCATGGGCAGCCTCCCCGAGGCGCGGCGGCTGTGAGGCGGCCGGCTCTCGCTCGGGGAGCCGGGGGCAGAGGCTGCCGGCGGCCGGCCAGGCTGCGCCGGGGAAGGGAGCGCCGCTCGCAGGCAGCGCCTCGGTGCCGGTGACTCGGGGGTGCCGCTCCCCGCCCGCGCCCGGCCGCGGCGGTGCATGGATGCGCCATGGCCACGCTGGTGTGCCGGGTGCAGCTGCTGGATGACACCGACCCCTTCAACAGCACCAACTTCCCCGAGCCCACCCGGCCGCCGCTGTACACCTTCCGGGAGGACATCCCGCTCGCCACCCAGCTGGCCGGGGTGCACCGCCTCCTCCGCGCCCCGCAGAAGGTACCGGGGAGGGCAGGGGCTGCGAGTGGGGGGGCAGCGGGCGGAGGGCAGCGGCCTCTCCGCAAGCGCCCGGCAGCGGCGGGCGGGCGGCCCCGGCCCCCGCGGGGCGGCAGCCAGGGCTCCGCGCCCGGGGCCGCCCGCCGGCTCCCGTGCCTCCGCCGGCGCTATTTCTCGCCCCGGCTGTATGGGCATCTCTGTAAGTCCTGGGGAGAGGCCCCGCGGGACGGCGGAGGGGTTCCCTCTGCTGTTCTCCTGCGTTCCCAAACGCTCTCAAGGGCGGCTACCCCCTCTGCTTTAGCTGTAGCTGCCTCATTCTTTCCCTAGGAGAAAGAAGAACCTCATCAAACCAAAGGCCAAGTTGGGTATCAAGGACTCGGTGCCTGTCCTTGGCTTAGCGTTGTCTGGGTATCCGGGGATACTGCTGGATAAGGTGCTGTGTCGGGCCGGCCGGGCACGGTCGCGCCGGCAGGACTCGGGCTTTGCCTGGTGAGGTTTAATGAGCCAGGCAGTCCCAGCCGGGGCTTTGTAAAAATAGCAGCGTCTGCTGCCCTTGAAACAATCGGTGCTACTAGTCCCTCTTGCGAAGAACTGCAGCATGGCCCTTGTCAAGTCTCACCTATCTCTTCTTGCATGCTTCTTCTAATACATATGCTGGCATTTGTAGCCCTGCCCTTGAAATCAGGCACCCGAGCATTATCCTTGAATTTTTAGTTTTCAAAGCAATGCCATTGATTGACATAATAATAATGTCCTCTCATTATTACCTTGTATCTGCACATTAGTTCTGCAGAGTGCACTGAAGAAGAAAGGAAAAAATGCCTACGTTTTTTCTTTTTTTCTACAAAGTAGAAGTTGTAAAACTTTTATTTGCTCTGTGATGAAGTGGGAGGAAAATACTCTCTTAACATCACTTGTTGTATTATGCTCATGGGAGCCTGCGGAAAGATGACAAAGGGCTGTGTGTCCCCTTAGATTTAAGGATATCCAAAACCCCATAAAAGCATTTCAGAGAAAAGCTCATGGAGCAGACAGAAGTTTTGCATTTGTAGAACGGTTTCCTCACATAATAGTTGCCAAGGATACAGCATCCAGTGAACAGAGCTCTGCCTAAAGCACAAAAACTTTGGAAGCTCTTGGTGCGCTGGGTCAATTCTGTTTTCATGTGCTCAGTCGTCCCCAATTCAGAGAGTGGTCCCATTGTTTTCATGGGAGGCTTTTTTTTTTTTTTTTTTTTTGAGTTAGAGCTAATTAAAAGAAAGGCAAGATGGATTCTGACGCCTAATGAAGTAAATAAAGAGATAGTTTTAAATCTGGATTTAGAGTTAATTCAACTTCATTTTCAGAGATATTTCACTTTGTTATGTTTTGTTTTGGTTTGAATACTTCCCTGGGAAATTTTTGTAACTTTTTATACTAACACCACCACCAACTTGGTTTAGTGTCCTAAGAGCCAGCCAAAATCCATGGCCACTTGTATATGCTTCCCTCCTGCCCAGTCTTTCTGTGTGCAGCATTTCTCAAGTTTAATTAATATTTGGAAAGTGGACTTGCAGACTTGGGGTGGGAGATGGCCTGTGTCTCTAGAGGTGCTGTAAACCCGGCTATTGAAAGATAGCTGCTCTGCTAGAGGCAAGTCCTGGCCCAGTGAGTTGTTAATCTGAGGTTCTGGCTCTTCCAAATACTTTGTTTCAGTTGTGAGGGTGTAGGCAAGCTCATTGAAATCTGCTTACATGGTTACAGTTACCTTTGTGTTTGCAGAGCTGCCTCTTTCTGCCTTAATTATGTCTCTTGGCTATCTCTTGGCTGCTACAAGGTAAAAAAAAAAGGGTTGGTTGATTAGACTTGTTTACCTTTATTCATCATAATGAAAGCATAGTTCCGTGTTTGCACTTGCAGTTAGAAGTTAGAGCAGCATTTCTGTGTTTGGCATTACATCTTTGTAATCTTTGTACCTGTAATTCTGTAAAATAAACTGATTTGTGTTGCTTTCTTCTGTTTTTTTTTTTTTTTTTTTGTTTTGGTTTGGTTTGGGTTTTTTTGGGGTTTTTATTTTTGGGGTTTTTTTTGGGAGGTGGGCATATTCTTTCTGCAGCCTTTCCTCAAGACCAGATCACCACATTATTTGGCTAAGAAGAATTTTGATCCATTTCACCTAGAGATCAGGGCAAATTCTGATCTTGGAGGAATGCAGCTGTCAAAGCAGAGCATAGGTTGAAATTCAGGTGTCCATTTACATTGAGGCATCCAAGGTTTGATTGATTAATTACTTTGAAAATTGGTGAGCTAATGGATTGAGGGTCCATTTAGTATCATCACGGTGGCTAGAGCAATATCTCTGGAAACAAACCTAGGAGTTTCTACCTCAAATGGTGTCCCTGCCCATGGCAGGAGTGTTGGAACTTTAAGGTCTCTTTCAACCCAAGCCTTTCTATGATGACAATGATGAAATGCATAGGAACACCAATGTTTAAATAATTTCTGAAGTTTTATAAACTTGGAGGTGTTTTTGCCAGCAGGTTTGAGTGATCAGTGCTAGGCTTTTTTCCAGCAAGTTTTAAGCTGCCATCTCTTGACTTGGGTGAACATTCACTTACTCTCTGAACAGAGCTGCCAGCTTGTTGCCTCTGCTCCACTGGATGATTTGCACATCTTTTAGATGATGTACCACTGTGGGATGTACTTGATAGGATGAAGTCAGTGTCAGGAATCCAGCTCACTTCAGTGGGGTCAGATTTCGCCATTGCTGTCTTGAAATTAGTAATGACGACAGTGTAGTGACAGTGGTATTTTTGTAGTTAGTAAAACAACTTGTATACTGCAAGTCATTGTAAGTTAAACATTATAAACAATTATTAAGAAAACCATTTAAAAAGTAAACAAAAAATGCTTTGACATTTGGACCTGTCATAGTATGTCATTAGTAGCTTTTTTGTAACCAACAGATGTTCTAGCTTCATTCCAAAGAGCAGGATTTCTTCACTCTAGTTCTTTGAAAGTACAACTCAATTTTGCATGTTGGTTTTACTGCTTCTTTTCTTTAATCTCACACTTTTACTTGAGTTTGGATGCAAGTTTAGATCTATACACTGTCTTCTGATCAGCAAAGTTTTTAGGTCCTTATGCAGGCTCACTGGGACTCAGTTAAGAAACTGAGTTCTGAGAATAATGTTTGGGATGGTCTTTACTACCCTGAATAACGTAGAGCACCTGAGCGGTTTGATAGGGAAAACTGAAAAGAGTCTCTGTAATCTTTCTTTCACTTGGAATTGGGTGCCTAATTTTATCCTCCTCCCTGTTTTTTCCCCTGCTTCTCTCTGTGCACATACTTTTCTCTACATCCATATCTCTGGATACAGCAGCTTGTTGTTCATTGGGTTGTGCTCAGTTCTGTCTGGCATTCACACTGAGCCTCATGGGGCAGGGCACTGCCATCAGTAATGCTTGTTTCAGCTATCCCCATGGTTATGAGCGATTTGGTCCTAGATGATAACACACCATCCTAGTTGACGGTACAATGAAGCACTACAAATTCTGTTACAGTATTTTTAGCCACATTTACAAATTCTTGCTGAGTATCTATGCCACGTTGCAGAGTTTTGTGGTTTGCCTATATTGATTTGGCTGCCTAAGGTGCCATTTTGAATTTGGCTTTTATTGCTCATGAGGATTTTAGGTCACTCCTACTGTCTGTTGTATGAAGTAGAATTGGATCTAGTTTGGACTCTGACTTCAGATGTCCCTTTTGCCCATTTCTGTGAACCTTGGGAAAACTCAGAACTGGGTCTAAATTTGTGGCTCAGGCCCTATGCCAATAATTCTCTTTGAATCTAATTCAGTACATTGGGTTTGTTGGTTTTGAATTGCTTTGAGTTACTTGATACTTATAACTTGCTGACATAGGGTCGCTCAGGAGAGTAGCTATATATACATGGCCAATGTCAAGTGGTGTGCTTTTTTTAGAGATCTTCTTCATTATAACTTATTCACATAATTACACCATGCTGAGTATGTTGCCATAGTCTGTTTTCACATGCCACGGTAGTGTTCAGTGTTGGGGCACCTCTGTAAGAAATATATCTTTACAATTATATAGGACATCACACTGCCTAACTTATCATGAAAACGTAATTGAAATACTTTGTGTAACAATGGAAAGCAACAAAAAATCCTTCCATGCATATGGGGTACTGGTGGAGATGGCATAAAGGAGAGTTATAGTGCCGTAAGGATAATTGTTTTGATCTCCTATTCCCTCTGAGAAAACTGGAGGCAACTTCTGTGTTTAAATGCCTTACAAGAATTTGTAATTAGGAACAGTGTCATTCAGAAAACAGTGGTATAAGCAAATAAATCCAGTGAGCGCTAGAGGGATTTGGGAGTTTCATTCATAAAGAAGCCATCCACGTTTCCGTCTTCAGCTGCTGTGATTTAGCCCTACATTTAAGCCAGGGCTCACTCTGAGGCATGGTGTGATGTAAACTGATAGCAGGAATAGTTCCACTGGTTGTGTCCTGGCATGGAGCTCAGCTCTGGCATTGAACTCAGTGCCAGGCTATACCTTGGCAGCAGCCTCAGGTTTTCTGAGAGCAGTAAGCCTACCAGCTGGCTCCTCTTCCATGGGTTTCCTTGGCATTAAGTAATAATGCATTGGTCCACAGATGCTAGGCAGAAAAAGAAGTATGGTTTGAATCCTGATCCTGATGTAGGTACTGGTAAAGAGCAGCTGTTCTCTCAAGAGAGCATTTTTGAGTTAGTAATTATGTTGCTAATGGGAGCTGAAGAATAGAAGATGGAAACTGGAATATTGTCATGTTCCCAGCGAAAAT